TATTATTATTATTATTATTACTGTTATTATTATCATGATTGTTATTATTGGTGTCATTATCATTATCATTATTATAATCCTCAACTGACCTGTAAAAATCCACGCTTGCGTGACCAGGAGTAGAGTCCAAGCTAGTTTCATCGGTGGGGATTCGAACTCGATTCTCCACAAGACCGGCCTCAGCTGTGTAGGGTAGCTCCTTTCCAGAAACAGGAAAACTTGGGCGGCATCTAATTTGAACCCTTGACACTGTTGAAGGTACAGAAACTCCTTAATATAGATCAATATGTTGCTCTTTGTTTTTTAAAAGGTTTTATAGCACTTGCAACATAATAAGGGAATATAAGTGCCGAAAATTATTAATGTTACCATAGGGTAACAAACGTGCTAAAGAAGGAGGAGAGATACGGAAGATAGATGTTTATAGGAATGAATTAGCAAACCAAACTAATTCACCCGTCAACCACCGTCGTCTAGTGGTCTGTGAGATTACTTTCAAATAGTCTACTAACTAATGCTATACTACACGTTTTTCTGAGAGAAATACCTTTGAATCTCTGAAAAGACTAAACTAATTAATTGTAAATGTTTGATCAGTACAGAGAAGCACATCGTCGCAATAATGGCCATTTAATGCTGAGAAAAAATAAGACAAACATAAACAACAGAGGAAGAGTAAAGAGGTAGGACCTATTAATGGCGTCCTCCATCCACCTGCTCTACTAAAGTAATTTATTCAAGAGTCGTGAAAACTCTCAACAATCCTAACAGCGCCAAGGTAAGGTGTCGACACTATAGTTGATGGATTTCTTGGGGTATGCTGAGTAACTGATATATCTTAAAGCCTGATCATTTTCCTAGCCTTTTAATGAAAAGAACCCATCTTTCTTGAATAAAAAGTCGAGATATTTGTAATTGAATGAAGTGGGGGTTGCCTTGCTCGGAGGTAAAATAAGCATGAAAAAATCCACCAATCTTCTGTGACTCCCAAAGCTTGTGTGTCCTAAGAATTCGCAAATTGAGGGTATTAAGTAGTTTCCTTCGATCAAAGATTTTCAGTAAAATCTTTATACTTATATAAATGTGCTTCATAATTGACTTGAAAAGTGTAGACCAAAAATAAAATATTCGATAAAAATAACAAGAAAATTACATTTTCTTCCATTTTACTATTTTGATGAGCGCCTGGTTTCACAACAATGGCACACATAATATGTACAAGCCAAATGAAAGTAAAAACTGACTAGAAAATCTCTCCGAGGAGTAATTACTTAGCACATTTGTACATCGCCAGCCAAGTACTACCTCACACAACTTGGTTATTCCGGGTTTGATGCAATGCAGATAACACCAGGCGCACTGTTTTCCAGTCTCTAATACGGGAGCCAGTTCAAAATGAAACGGAAATCTTTGCGAAACAAGGGCATTCATCAAAAGACAGTATATCTAGTTTCGTAAAATCTCCGGAAAGCCAAAAAAAACCAACCCCATGTCTTTGCCTTTCAACAGCCAGTCGTTCTGAATACCTTCAAAACACTCTCCCCGCCTTATTCATTAAGATATGGATTCCAGACAAAGACAGAAATGTGTGCCCTGCCTTGTTTTAAAGTAACATATATTTGGAATTGATATCTCCGTTTTGACCAAAACTGGATACACTGTCTTTTAAAATAAAACTCCATAATATTGGGCTCAGAGTGAACACTTTTCAGCAGCCTTAACAGCTGTAACATAACTCCCCAAAAATACTTGAAAACCGGAGTTAAAAAGAGATAGAGCACTCAGCTTGCTAAGTGTGATCATTTTACAGTAACATGAGAAACGGATGTACATGGGCGGTCTCATAATTAAAAGGAAAATGGTCGTGTTCCAATAACTATCTCTTATTTTTTTATTTGTAAAAAGGTTTTTGTTGTCGTGAGAATTTCCAATGTGGGTGCATAAATGCAATGCGCAAAATGAACAGAACAATTTACATCAACGAAGAGGCTAGATCCCTAATTCGGATTCTTTGCGCAAAAGAAAAAAATAGACCCTAATTCGGGTTATTTGTGCAAAAGAAAAAAGTCTCACTGCAGATTCATGCAAAATGTGGGAGTGTTTATTGTAAGAAAGTTTTACGCACGTCAAGAGTGTACCATTCGTGCAATACATTTAAAGGATGGCATATTAATCTACAGTTTGGTCAAAAATGCATGGTGCAACGTATCCTGAAATATCTCTTTAACGGTTGAATCAACGACACCCATATTACACATCTCCATTATGTTCACAGCACTTCCCGCTTCTTACACACATTTTCCATACGCAAATGGCCTATACGTCACTCCTCGAGAAAATAGTTTCATAGGCTATTGAACACCTTTTCGCACTAAAGGACGTTTTTTGGTAAAGGTTCTCAAATCATAATAATAAGCATGTCGCGATTTAATAAATCATTGTGATGGATTATATTTTAAAAGCGATATTGTACCAGCTGTTAACCTTGTAAAATCCGTATAGACCACTCACTTGGATTTTATTAGTATTTAATAAGGAATTTTTCTAGAATTCAGTTTACACGTGTTGACAAAATGATTTATCTGTTAAGACAAATTGATACAAGTCATTGTGCAAAAGCTGGAATTTTAAAGTTTATGTTCGATAGTTAAGGAAATATTTGAAGGTAGGTTGCGCATGAATTTTTGACCGCGCTATGCACGATGAACCAAACGGAGACGGGTGTCTGTCTTCAACACGAAATAAGAAGTTTAACGCACTTAAAATAAAACTCATCTCTGATGACAGGAGCTCAAAACTCGTCACATTTATTTCTCCTATCTCGGTGTCTTTCTAACAAACACACACGCACACGCACGCATACACACACACACACACACACACA